CGCTTGTAGTTGGACTCGACGCGTTGAAAACAACTCTCAGTCTCGTGGTAGTACTGCTTCCTTTAATAACATAATGATGTGGTAGGTATACGCATGGCCATTCATCACTTACGGGTTCTTGAAGCTCTCGCATATGTCCCAACCTCTGGTACTCCCGCATGAATTCTACATATTCCCTTGTGAATTGTGGTTGTCGTTTGAGTCTCCTCTCCAAGCTGTACAGTTGTTGCACCGCAATCTCTTTGGATTCACCCAAATTCTTCAATACATCCATCTTGATCGGCAATGTTACCACAAATCTGCCTTCACTGTCTCTCTTGTGGGTTTGCATGAAGTGATTCTCGAATGCACGCTCCTCCGGGGTTCGCGTTGCTATCCTTTCACAGCTTTCAAGTTGCCAAAATTTCATAAGACTTGCGTTCAATTGATCGTTCATACTCATGTTGCATACTGTAGACTTCATGTATTGATCTCCTGTTATGCAGTTTCCTGAGGCAATCCAACCAAAAACTGTTTTTTGCCAAGTTGGCTGATTTTCAGTTACCTTTATTCTGCCGATACATAATAAATCGAAAAATATCTCCGCTCCTATCAGCAAATCTATCTTCGAGGTTTGGTTGAATTGTGGATCAGCTAATGTAATTCCGCGTGGTATTCTTATGTCACTCTTGCTTATTTCATTGATAGGAAGTCGCTGTGTAATCGTGTCCACCACCAGACAATCTAACTGCTTCCTATAACCCGTGGTTCTGGATTGTATGATAATCTTCACTAGACTTCTGGTTGATACGGCTTGTCCTCCCAATCCACAAATCGGCATGTTAGTGGATTGACGTTTGACTCCAAGTTCCGTGCAACAATCTTCCGTGATGAAGCAAGATTGAGATCCGCTGTCAAGAAGTGCACGAATTGATTTCGTTTCTCCTTTGGTATTTGACACATTTACCAGTGCGGTTGTCAATAAAACTTGTTCTTGATTTATGGCTGCGTGATTTACCGTTGCGGGACTCGTGCTCTCTTTATTTTCAGAATTCTTCGTTTTAGGCTCAGAATCCGAATTATTTTTTGAAGCTTGCTCAAAATGTAGTAGTGTATTATGACGCTTGCTGCACTTGCGACATGTTTCTGCTAGACACTCCTTGGCTTGGCATTTCAAGCAATTTAAACATAATTTACGTGTCCTTGCTTCCTTCACTCTTTGATCTATGTTTAGTGCCAAAAACTCCTTGCACTTGTATATAGCATGATTCTCTTGTTGACAGAATGCGCATGTATTTTTAGTGGTCGCCACATTAGCTGTCGTACTTTTATTATGAAGCGTCTTTTCTTGGGAACTTGTTGATTTCGATGAACGGGCTGTTGCCTCTAATGCTCTACAACGTTGATTTAAAAAATTAATTAATTCTTCAAATGATGGTATCCTACCTCATACTACCGTAGTTTCCTATTCTCGATATGTCGATTGATCCAACCTGCTGGTCACCAAATGTATCATTTCCAAATGTATCAGTCGTCCCAATTATTTGTAGGTCTTTTGAGAGCTTTGAGAGCGCGGATATGCTTTAATACAGTGTCTAATAATTTTCGCAAAATTACGTGATTATCCTTGATCATGGCAGGTAACTCAAACAGTGCTTCCACATGTCTCCCGATAATCAATCCTAGATCGTCGTATCTCTCCATCAACATTGTCCATGCTTCTCTGTAATTCTCCGCCGATGCCTCTAAAGAACTCACTACATCGTGCGCTTCTCCTTTAAGTGACGACATCAAATACTGCATTTTCTGCACGTCAGGCAACACGGCATTCTGCTCTATCATGCTAATAAACATATTATTAAATGAGTGCCATTCCTCATATTCTCCAGAGAATGTTGGTAAATCCACGCGAGGTAATTTTAGGTGATCGCTTACCGAGGATCCTCCAATGGTAAATGGGGTCGCTTTTCTTACCTGGCGATCCTGCGTATGCGGTGAGCGAGTTGCCACTAGCCTTTCTTTCTCCTCTATTAACGATTCTAAGGCAGCTGATATTGTGAAATACCTATTTTCGAAGGCTGTCCTTTCCTCCAATTGATTCTCACTAACCTGTTCTGCATCTTCGGCAGCCTCGATTTTGGCTTGTACTTCGTTGAACTCGTCCCATGTGCTATTGAATTTCTGTAATCGAGTACGCAACTCAATCACGGATGTGCTTCGACAGT